TACACTTTAAAATTCTTTCTTTATTCCTTAACAGTCATAATTTATTTTGATAGTACTCTCGACTCAAGTGTTCTCGTCCGACTAACTCTTCCTTCCGTAGATATTCTACTTATATAGATTTTTACGACCATATTACTGTTACCTAATTTCATGGCTTCATTTCTAATCCGTTAATCTGCTTTTTCGGTAATCGTTTTCCTCAGCTGGCAGTTGCATGATACGCCGGCGAATGTGCACTAGGTTTTCCCGCTAATCTTTTTCATCGACCGACAGGTCCATGACGCGCCGCGAACTTACTTTTAGTTTTCCCCTCGCTAAGGAATTTATTATTTGGGCAAATTAATTATCCTGAATAAGCTGGATTTAGGATTTCCGTAAGAGTACTTGTAAAGGTCAAACCTTTCCATTGTGCCGTCCATAATTAAAACGAATAACAGGTAAAAAAATTTATATCCGAACTTTTTTGAATTTTTTAAAAATTCTTATTGCGCTCATTTCATTCTTCACATCTATTTTACTCCATGTTGTTGAAACTTAAAAAGACACTGAAAGTATAAATAATACAAAAGCACATAGACATAATCGAAAAGGTTTCCTTCAGGGTTTTTGGAATGGAAAATTGCTTTGGCAAAAGTGTAAGATCTTGAAACGATGTTAGTTTGAAAGGAATGCTTTAAATATCGAGAATTACATAAAGTGAAAATAAAGTCAAAATTCATTGTTGTTAACACACGTGCACATATATATAAAATCAATAAATTTCTTTAATATATTCTTGCACCGGGTGCAAATTAAGACTTGTTGGCGATAGGTGGCGATGCGTGCTTACTGAAAAACAACAAATATTGAAAAATTACATAAACAAAATTTTCGATATCGATTCGAGATCATAACGGTACATAGCCTGAAATATTTTCCTACATCTTAACATTTTTTTTCCATTCAACGTAACAAATATCCAAAATCCAATTTTCTAACATTTGTTGGCAACGCGTTACATGCGCTGCTAGCGCATGATCTATTGCTAAAATTCTCTGACTTAACAAAATTAAAATACGTCTTTGTTACAGATGAAGAAAATAAAACAAATTGAAGTTCTCTACGATTTATAACTATCCATATATATATATATGTGCGAGTGTGTGTGTGTATGTGCGGCTGAAAAAATTAAAAAGCTTCAAAAAATCAAAGTAAAACAAGTAAGAAAATTGTGTTCGGAATATATAAACGTGCGTACTCTATAACATTCGGTGGGCGTGACTGTTTTTTTTCTATTTCTTTATAACAATTTTGCGGAGATTTATATCGTGTATCTCTTGTTATTTTGTCAGCAACGAGAAAAAGACATGAAAACCAAAGGCATACTCCGTTTTGATTCTACAGATATTTGGGTGTTGTAGGCGAGTTCTTTGACCTGCTTAGGGTCGTATCCAGTTTTTTTTACAAATTTGTATATGATATCTTCATATTAGTAAACCCAAGAATATTTATCGCATATACTACAACAGTTGGGCTACCGTACAGACAGACAGCACATGTTCAGGTGTACTCCGAATCTGTAAATTTATATAGATGTTTTTAAAGCTCGCCTCTACGCGTTATAATGCTATTCAAAAAAAATTTTAAATTTTGATATAATATTAATAGTCGATAGGCATAGTCAGTTTTCCCTTTTTCGTACAGTTACTACAGCATCAGCCACGGAATACATGTTCAAATGTTTGTAGATTTATCTGCGGTAGTTTATGAGTAACGATCAAAAAGCCAATCTCTTATTCCTTTTGAAAAACATATGTGTTCTCATTTTACCTACTACTGTAGGCGTGTCCTTCGGCCGATTTGCTCCATTTTCAATACCAACCCGCATGCAAGAGCTTTCAATGACAGACGGATAGACTGCCAGAACGACATGCTTAAATCGATTCAGAATTCGCATATGATCAAGAATATATATATATATATATTTTGTAAGGTCTCTGAAGCTTCCTCCTCCGTTTTGAAAAAAAAAACAGAGTTATTCTCAGTTTGTGCTGCACTATGAGCGTGTCTTTCCAGCGATTCAATTCACTTACGATACGAACCTCCATCTAAGAGTTTTCAATATTTATTACCGAACTTGATGGTAGCTTCATTTTTGCGAGCAGGGGAATGTTTAGCACACGCATTACGCAATCAAGTAGGCAGACAGGGAGGCGGACCAATGGATATGCTTAAATCGATTTACGATTTGACGCTAATGCGGAATATTTATACATTATAGAGTCTCTGAATTGTCGTTTTGGGCGTTGCAAACGCCTAGACAAAATGAACATAACGCGCAGCCTTCGGTAATGGGTGCGAACGCAAATTATAACTAATTTTATTAAGACTCGAATTACGTATATTCTTTAGACGCGTTATGTAAAAATTGTATCCACGCCCTACACGGAACGCATACATTACTATCGACAATTTTTATTTATATTCACCCTCTCCAGCATTTTACTAAGCCTGCTTAAAGATCTTTAAACAGGATAACATCCTGAGGCGATTTAGGCTTGTGTAGCCAAATGCCTTGGTACAATTTGCAGGAGGGATTCATATAGAAAGCTGACACCTTTCGCTCTTTTACTTGCAATTTTAATAATAACTGAAGTTTGCAAATGGGCGTGGTTCATTTATGCAATTGCTCTTATAAGCGACAACTGCTCTACGGTGTACGTAAAGCCCTTTCAACTAAGTGCTTGAGATCAACTAATTACACCGCTCACACTTATGAAAATAGTTGGCTTAATTCGCTTCCAGCTACACTAATGTAATGTACAGACCTCCTGCAATTCACAAATCATGGATGATCAATCGTGTGCACATATTCCATATTCCGTTCCAAGATTCCTCGAAAAAGTGACCATTAAAATGGAATTGATTAATCAGCTAACGCGCCTATGACCCACAAAATAGTTCCCATATATTGTTTTTATGCTTCGACTCGTGGTGGTGAATGTTCTAGGTTCGCTTAGAAGTAAACATAGCTTGCTTGTGAAATTAATTGAAATAAAGATTTGTTTAGAAAGCAATAAAATGAAGGAGAAAAATAATATTATATGCGACTATATATACATTCATACATATGTCCTAAGTGATTAATATGGACGACTTGTTAACTTTTGATTCATTGCATGATTTTTTGCAATTATTACATTTTGCATTAAATTACGTTTTCTAAGTATTTGATTTTTATAACCTTCAACACAATATCAATAATAAATTCGCTTTATCCATACGTTTGTAACGATCAGACATAGGTAGTATAGGTAATATCACTGCTATCTAAGCTGAGTGGCGTAGATTTTGCCTCTGGCTGATTAACACATCATTCCCCATTCTTCGTAGAACTACGAATATATTAAAAGCATTTATTTGATAGCAACAAGTCTTCCATTCTATACGCATGCCACAGCCATATGCGTAACTATGAAAAGAGTCAAAATTATTAGAAGCAATCAATTGCAGCCGCAATTTGATGCAGTCGCGTTGAAGGGTCTTCGTGATCGAACGAATAACAAAATAATTTGTGGTTTCCTCTCGCCAACAGAGCAAGTCAAGTCAAGAAATCAATTCTAAGATTAACAAGAACTCAAAAGAACTTCACATATATTTCAGTTTTTTTTTTATATAAATTTGTACTGTATTTGAAGTTTCATTTACACGTATAGAATATAATACGTTTGTGAATGGTAACGGTAAACAGGATTCGTTCTAAGGCGAATACAAGTTTCTCTTGTCAAACTTTTCCATTTATTTATTGTTAAAATTTTTCTTTCATGCTTTTCTGTTTCCTTTTTTCTTTTTTTTTTTTTTTTTTTTGTCTTTTATACAAAACAGTTGTGGACATTTTCAATGTTCGTTGAACGCATTCGCGCAAATCCCAAACGTGTTGAGATTGGAGATGTTGAAACGCCATTAGAATCAATATTGGAAACGGAGCAGGAACAGCAAAACTTAAACGATGAAGTCTGTCTATTGCGTGATAGTCCGTTTCGTATATTAAGGGTAAGTGTTTTATATATTCTTTGTTTTTTTAATATCAATAAATGTTTAATCTAAAAAAGAAAGCAAACTTTTGAAAAATCATTGTTGAATTATGAGTGAAAGATAATTTTTTAGTTTGAAAGTACAGTCGTCCCTCATAAAACAAAACTTTGCGCGTTTAACGCGATTTTAAAATACCACGATTTCAAAAAATCATACATGTATTCAATGAGTTTTATTCACATCTGCGGTACACGAATTTTTCAAATATTTTTTGCATTTTTATAGTAGGAATGACTAGAGAGAGAAGAGAAATTCCACCAACGTTGAGAATGAAGCTATGATCTATCATAAATTAGCGGTAATTTTTGATAAAAATTATTTCGTCATAATGTTGGATTTCATATTTAAAAAAAAAATTTGTTTTTCTTTATAAAAATTTGATATTAAGAGTTTTGTATATATATGCAACGAAATTTTATGTATCATATAACTTTACACCTTAAAGCTTGGTTTCGATATAACACCGTACAAAGTGCCCTGATTTATATTATTTGAAAGTCTCTTATAACCGACTTATATAAGACACACCTGTAATAAGAAAAATTTTAAAAAACTTCTTTTATATCCATCACCGCAGGATGAGGGATATATTCATTTAGCAAAGACATTTGCTGCGTCCAGAAAGAAAGAATATATTCTTGATCAGCATATCTGCAAATTCTGAAGCGATTGTATGCTCGGTCTACTGTAAGGAAATCTCTACTGAAATTTTATTTACAACTTATTTAACAAGGTCCAGTTTATGCGGCATAGAACTCTTTCATAAGTAGGCTTAGATCTGCAGTGAATTGAAAGGTGTAGGAAATCAAAATATGTTGAACCGCTTCATCTAATGACATTAGAGATTATTGTAGTTTACAAAATCAGAACTTATTTGAGAAATTTTCTATGAGAATCGATCTATTATGTGGGAACTTCTCATGCGCAAGCACAGCGAGGTAACTTCTTAAGCAATTTAAAACGTTATAGTCGATTTAATATCCTACACCGTTCCACCTAACACAATTATTAATTCATCTTCATGATAGTATGAGCTAGTAAAGCATACTTCTCCTGATAATCCCTGAATTTAATTAACTTTTGATGAGGAGAATATTGAGTGCGTCGAAACGCTTGCAACGCTTGCAGAAGAAAGCTTCAGACAACCCACAAAGTTTATATATTCTAGATCAGCTACAAATTCTGAATCGAGCATGCAAGCATGTACGTCCGTTCGTCTTTATGATGTCTATGTAATGTAAACGTTCTCCTGGTCGCAAAAATAAAGCCATCGACTTTCGATTTGGCAGAAACATTGGACGCTCTTGCATGCAAGGTTGGTATTGAGAATGGGCAGAATCGTTCGAAGGACACGCCTACAACTACTACGTAAAGTGAGAACACCTTTGGAATAAAAATGTTATTTTTTGCTCATTGCTGACCAACTATAAGGGACAAATGTATATAAATCAAATTTTATTGGCGATGCTTTAATACCTGTACAAAAATGGGAAAAATCGATTACGCCTACCCAATATTATAGTATATTGAATTATTATTGGTTTCTCAATACCTTTGTAACGCGCAGAAACAAGCCTCAAAAACCTAATAACATGTATACATATTCTTGACCAGTGTCATCCTCGGAATGCACGTAAACACGTCTATTCGTTTGTTGGTTAGCCATCTATGTGTCCGGCCAACAGCACACACAGTATTTATGATAAAAATTCTCTCGTTCACGCAAATGCGAACATTATAGGGTATAAAAGTTTAGTGGTTCGCTCCCGTTTTTCTAATCTTCTTTAGGATAACGATAATGCCTATAAAAGATTTAGTCGCGATCGAATATAATTTTCTGACTATATTTGTATCCTATACTTGTGGTAGTGGGTATATCAAGTTGGTGGAGACGTATATAATGTCCAGAAATATATCTGCCTTTTATTATACCGAACGATTCAGAATAATTTTGTCAATCAATCTATGTTTGTCTGTCCGTCTTGTTTTTTTTTTTTTTTGTTTAGGATTTAACCTAAAGAATGCATTTTTTTGGAAATGTTTTGATGAAATTTAGTTCGCTGATATGTTCGTTGGTGATCAACCCAGAACATATTGGTTCTGATCGAACCAATTTTTCATCCGCTTGTCATAAAAAGCCTTATTTTGAGAAACCGTTTTATCAGTAACTTAGTCTTAAGCGAAGTCTTGACGGCTATTTACAGAAAAGAAGAAAAAGAAATTATGTACGCTTTTGGCTTAGAGACACATTAGCGGTTGCAACGATTTCAAAGTAGAGGATGAACTTTTAAACCGATGCAAATATACTAAAGTTTGTTAACCGATAATAATGCGCATAATTAGTTCAAATTAAAAATGAATTTAAATACGACATAGACAACACGCACATATTAAGGATAAATGATCTGATAGTATTTTAACAGTCCGATATTGAGATTACATTATATCGTAATATATCATTTACGTATTTGCAAAGGACAAATAAAGTGTCTCGGAAGGACGATTAGGAACATTGAAGTTTAGCTCTCGTAAAGAAGGTGCGAGTCAATAAAACCATTTATTATCCTAACTAAGAAGAAGAAGACTGCTAAGATGAACCTTCGTTTCTCTAGTGACGGAAAGGCTAATAGTAGCATTTTCATGTTTTCATAAAATGAGAAGACAACTAACCAGTTCCATCCCAAATTCCTAAAGATATAAAGATAAAGAATTGCTTCTGAAATGAGTCTTTTAATCCAGCAAAACATCTACAAGGAGGAGACCACATAATAGAGAGCACATTCAAGTATTGATCTGACCCATACAATGTATTTGTCAAGCTCTCTAGATCAACGTTTAAAAAAAACTTATTTAAATGCGGAACTGCCCAATTTACGCGATATTTTGAAGCGATGGACAATGTAGTGGTATCTGTTTGCTTGTTGGCAATACTACTTCCGTGTAAATAATGCACCAAATCTTGCAGATTATATTTTAGTGTATTAAACAACAAGCGGTTAAAACAAGCGATCGATGAAATTTGTGATCTTTCATATTTCGAAAGAGATTAAATCGTTGGTGTTGCATTAGTCGAGCATTAGTGCAGCACACACAAAACATAATAACAGAGCATCGGCGAAGGGAAATAGTGGGTTAAACGCAAAATTAACTGACATAGACCGACGAACATTAACACATAAAGCTATCGCGACAAAAGTGACAACAGAGGTCAACACTAAACTGAGTAATAATGTTTTGACAAAAATAGAGAGCCAAGGGTTACAATTGCCTGAAATCCTTTATAACGAAAGGCAACGCTAAGCTGTGGTAAGATGATCATACAACCTGAGCAGCTGGTGATTGGAAGAATGTGGCATCGTCCGATGAGTTATTGTTCACATCGTTTCCTACAAGCGGCCGAGTTTATGTACGAAGATCCTCAAAACAACTCCACGGTTCGAACTGCTTCCCTACAACAGTCAAACAAGAAGGAGGTTCGTTTATGACGCAACTGTCTATATTGTGTGGTTCAGCTGATCCTGAATGAATATCTCAACCTTCTCAAAGAAGATAGTCTTACTGTTGTTGGTATATTACTATTAAACACTACGATACCGAAAGGTGATAATGCGTCGATATACACAGTCAAAAAGGTCCAGCTTCTTTTTAATTAGCATCAGAATGTCATCAAACGTTGCCCCACGGCCAGCACAATGGGCAGAGAAACCTAAACTTAGTTGAAGCGCTAAGAGGAGATTTCCGGCAGAGAGTGAAGAGAATATTTCCATCTCGAAAATTATTTAAGAAGTTTGGCGGATGTTTCGGAACATGGATGGAACATGGAATATTCCTTTAGAAATCTCACTCAGTTTACGAATCTCTTCCACGAAGAATTGTAACTTCCCCACAAGCGAAAGGTGGCCCTATTCTTTATTAATAAATTATTTGATTTTATATATATTGTATGATTGTATGGTTTTGTTCATTGCTTATATGTACGTGAACGTGTGCGTATATGTAAATAAACGAATATTGTACATATAAATAGATCATAATGAAAATTCTCCGAGATTTTTTTAACGGGATAATATCAATGCCTTAATATCGGACAACATTCACCTAATTATCTCAAATGAAGATGCGCTTAAAAGGTGAGATCAAGGTCGGCTTACATTTTTTGTGAAGATAGTTCTTTAATTCTTTGCTCGTGTAGAAGGTAATATTGATTTGAAAACGCATGAAATACCTAAATAAATACGCTATGTAATGCTATTTACTATAAAATAGTTAAAAAAAAAGATGCAAACAAAAATTAAGGAGGTGTATGGTGAAAATGCTGTAATTGAACAAGCATTTTTATTGATTCCGTTTCAAAAATATCGATGTCAAAGATGCAACTCGCAATCGCTGAAAAAGTCGATGAAATTTGGTGAAATCTGGTGAAGCAAGACCGGCATGCAAGCTGTCAGGAAATAGCGAAGGCATGAATGACATGACAATTTGGAATCTAAGCAAAAAGGCAGGCTATTAAAAGAAGCTCGAAACCGTGAAGACCTTTCAATATGCCCCGCTATATGGCGTTTTGAAATTCAAAATTAATTTTTTAAAAACATGGATTTTCCTTTTAAATTTGGTAAGATGCAATGAATTGCTAATAAAAATTGAATTAACATCTTCGCGCAATAGTAATAGCAAATCGCTAGGCAAAGAAAACGCAAAGAGAGGAGAAATCACAACAATCCATAACAAAATGAAATCCAGACTTCTTTATGTGCATGGACTCAAGAATTACATTCGAGTATAAGTAAGTGTGAGTGCAGTATGCGTGTTAACAAGTCAGCTGACGATTTGGTAAACACAGTCACATGGCTTGCATAGTCAGGACTTGAGATGTTTGTACATAAAACAAAGAAATCAACGCAACAAATTTTACCGGGTTCGAGCAGCTGCTGCCATTAACCGAAACAAAAATCTCTAAC